AAATTTTATATATTATGATTCTGAAAAAAAAAAATATTATACTTGTATTTCCGCACACTATTCAATAAATTCCACCAATAAAAGCTAAGATACCCAGTAAAAATTTGGATTGGAGATCCAATACAAATTCCAATGTCCAGTGTTGATTTTTAAGTGTACCACAATTGGAGAACCAACCCATTCGCTAATAAAAGGGCATATTTTTTTGTATACAAAATAATCTGAGTTCTCTAACTGAGAAAAGCTTTTATATCAATTTGGGTTCAAACTTTATTCAACTTTTAGTCAAACCTTGTCCAAAATTGCTCGAATATTGGAAAAAAGTTGGGAAAATGTTTGCTTTGTGCATATTGGGTATGACTGAAGTCTTGCATTCCCATTAAAAGTGACTCAACTAGGAAAAATCACATAAACAGGGGCATCCTAAGGGCAACCACTTCTAATTCCAGCCGATGGACTTGTACAAAGACAATGCATGTGATGCTTTTTACTACCCATTTTCGCATAGCCCCTGAGCACATGACATACATATTATGAACATACTTACATATATAAAAGCATGATAAGGAATCATTATTATCAATCATTGAGTAAACAAAATATAAAATGGCAAACACTCGAAAATTTTGTTTCATCAATTCCGACTGCAATCAATAAAAATTTAAATCACACAACATACATATATATTGTATATAGAAGTATTTACAAAGGTATGTAAGATAGTACGAGTAACTTGTAAATTGAAATCAAAGTCTATTTGTTTCCATCAGCATTGTTTATATACGTATGTATTTTTCCTATGAATGACGACCTTATGTCTCAAGTGCAATTAAAATATTTTGTAGAAATAAATAATGTTAAGGAGATTGTTTACAAATAAATACATACAGACATATTTACATATGTATATATACACACTTGAAGCAATCAATTAATCAGTTCATCAGCGTACTTACTGTTCGGAATGCGTAGAAAACTACTAGAGCCCACCCGGTACTATAGTAATTTGCACAGATGGTTCAAAAATTATCGGTGTAGTGGGAGGGTGGGTTCTTCTCCCGCAGTCCTACCCTGAGCTGTTCATTTCGTCTGTCGGACTAGAGTCTAAGGCTTCACCAGGCTATAAGCGAGCTTTGTACTGATTTAAAAGCTGTAAGTGCCGCCACAATTAAATCAAATATTGTACTGAACTGCCGCCGATCTCTACAAAAAATGGCTAAACCGAACAGTCCGAACTGCCCTTTAGGTTCCTGGTCATAAGGACGAACTTATGAAGGGGGTACAACCAGGCAAAGAACGCACTGGTATGTCCTTCGCCACTTGCTAGCTGCTCTTAAGAGAAGTTGATGCGAACAAAGACATGTCGAATTTTTAGGCATACTTGGCCAAGGTTTCGAAGCTTATATTATCTAAATAGGGAGGACATATCTTACACAATTGTTGTTCTAACAGGTCACTGCCATATAGGTAAACACGCAGAATGGCTCGGAGTGTCTTACCATAGATGCTGCAGAAGTGCGGAGGAGGAGACAGTTCTCCACCTTCTCTGTAACTGCCCGGCATTATCGAGGAGCAGATTGCGCTTTCTGGGTGCTGCTTTCCTTAGTCATCTTAACAAATTGGTAGATTTAAACCCTATATGCCTGAGCGTCGTCAAGGATTCAAAATGGTTTAGCAAGAGGGAGTGAAAACTTTTGGTCGTGGTATCATACAGGGCCTTAAACTCGTGGCGTAGTAGTAAAAGCCACATCTATCTACATAACTAACTACTATTCCCGCTTAATACATTGCAATTTCAAACCTCCACTCGTAGATTCCTTTAAGCTGTTTTTTCCCAAATTTAATCGATTTATTGTCTACTCAACGCAACTTAGAAAATGCTTATTAAAATTACGGTTTTTAATTAACTTTAAATTTTAAAAAATATAACTCTTTCTATTTCTTTCTTTTTTTGGGTCTTGTAAATTGATTAAGTACCTATATACATACATATGTACGAGTATGTACTTATAATATAGGGTGATTCATCTAGACCTTGGTTGTTAAATTTTCAGTAAAGCTCTTAAAATATAACTGGATTTCTGACATTTAGTATTTTTAATAGTTTCATTCAAATGTGGGTCGCCGAGAGAACAGGCCTTTCTTTGCCTGAAATTTAATCACATGATGTCGGCAACATTTAGTTTCAGCAAGTTATCTTGTGATATCACATCTCTGATTTTTTTTTGTCTTTGGGATTATGTGAAGTCAGAAGTCTGCTTCGATAAGCCACCTTTGATTCAAAACTTGGAAACCAAGATCACAATTGGACCTTTCGAATGAGCAACCTATGCTGTAGGTCGCGGTCAACATTTGAATTAAATTAATTTTAAAATGCAGATGCCAGAGGTTCTACTTTCGGATGATAATAAAGATTCTGACATCCAGTATTGTTATTTAAAATAAAGTCTACCACTTTTTTAATGGATCACCCTATATACGCATACATCCGCTTGTATGTACACATGTGAATATATTTAAATGTATGACAATTTTGGGACTCACGTCAAAACGTTCGTGTCGCATAAATACTAATCTTGAAATTATCTACAACTCGAAAAGGTCGAACGTAACATACATATTTATGTACTTCAAGAGCCACGCACACATACATATATTTATATGTATGCATGACGATAATAATTTGATTTTTTAAGGGGAATAAAGTAGATTAAATTTAAAAATTTTCAATGACTTATGAAGTGTAGCAGGCAACACTTGAATTTTGTTTTTTCACATCATAAATCATAACGTCCGCTCGTGTAGAAGAAATCACACATTCAATTACACATTAACGGCTGTTCAATAACCATTACTCATAGTTATGGGTAAACTTAAAAACTTTAGTACTTAAAGTACTTTTGGTATACTAAATACCCATATACTTATTATTTTGAAATATCTTAATAGTCAAGAAAAAAAAACTTAGATGTATACATATGTAGGTTTTAATTAATACTAAGGTACACTGAGAAAAAATCAGCCAAAAATTGGTTACTATTACTAAATTCAAACTTGAAAGTAAGCAAAGTGATTTTAGTTCAATATTAACCACGGCAATGGATATTTTCAACAATAAATTGGTATTATTAACCACACTTTTTTTTAAATAAAACCTATATTTTGTTGCCGATTTTTCGTTTGCATACGCTTATGTTCTGCACTTCACAGAGGCTTTTTCACACTCAGTTAGAGCCAGACTTACAAAATTCCTCTCTACGGTCCTGCCCAACATAATATAATTCTAACTCACAATTAATATTTTCTAATTAGAATACTATTTTAAAATACCTTACCATATTTTCCTAAAAATACTTACCTCAAAACGTTTACTAAAATTTAACTACATACTTACCTTTACACACTTAAATTTGAATATGTAGCTACCTAAATTTATACTTATCCTGCATTTTTAAGCTACATGTATGTACATTAGTGTGGTCAAAAATAGTAGAGTTGGAATTTTAATGCTCTCAACCCCTATTTAGGATTGTTCTATATCGAAAAAAGTATACCCCTATTTTATATTTTGAAATCAAAAAATATTTAGAGGTCGCTCAAAGGCCTCAAAGTTTTTCGTAGAAATGGTATAGAATTCTTGAAAATCAATATTTTTCGATCGGAAAACCCTGGCTCTCTTCTCTGGTACTTACATAACCCTCACTAAGTAGAGTTCTCCTTTCAGCATTGCCGAAGAAGAGGGGCTGAACATATTTTGCTGAGATATTTCGTGAATATTTTTTGTGTTTTAAAGCTCGGTTCGGAAATTTGCAAAAAATACCATATTTCAAACCGAAATTATTAATAAATTAGTACAAAAATATAGTAAATTATTCTTTTAAAATAAAGCGTAGACTCTTGTCTATAAGTATGTGGAAAAGCTTTTTTGATTCGGTTCACGCTCTTCAGGAGACTTTTAATAATAATCCCCAATTATTTATTTAACCATTTTTTAATACTAACAATTTGTTATTGGTCCCCCTTTTGCATTTTTCGGGGTTTTTGTGGGTTTTGGCGGGCCTATAAATTATAGTTGCGATGAAAAAATGGTTAAATAAGAAACTAGGTATTATTACTGGGAATCTTCTGCAAATAAACAGAGTTTTCCGATAGAAAAATATACATTTTTAAAAATTCCATATCATTTCTAAGAAAAGTGGTTTTTCCCCATATAAAATATGTGAAAGACTCTGGGCGATTTGAGCGACCTCTAAATATTTTTTGATTTCAAAAAAAAAAATAGGGGTATACTTTGTCGGTATAGAACAAACCTAGGGGGTGAGAGCATTCAAATTTCGACTTTACTTTTTCACATGCATTTTTAGACCACCCTAATGTACATACATACATATGATTTGCTACCTAACTTAAGGTAAAAGAAAATAGTTAATATTAATCGTTCGCTACCCTGGAAAACCGTCGCATCATAATTGAAGAAATCGAATAAAATCAATATACATAGATATCGGACGTTTAATAATATAGAGATGTAACTCAAAATTTACATTTTTGTATATTTCATTATGCAATTAATAAGCTTGATAAATAGAACAGGTCAGTCCAACAGGTAACCAAACTTTCCAAATATGGCGAGGATAGGTGTCCTTCCATCTATCTTTTTGTATGTCACTGTATGAATTGATCAAACTTTGATTTCGCTTACCCACAAAATTAAAATTTTGAATATTTCGTCATATTAGTAAGCGTTTTTTGATTGGATGAAAAGAGAAGGCACACTCCTGTTGCGCTCTTTCGCCACAATTATAATGAGTTGTCCCTTCTGGTTATCTACGTTCTTTGGAAGTTCTAGAGCGAGTTATATCGCGGTACAATAAATACAACCATTTATTTCTTTAAACTCAACACTATGATTAACTACTTTTTGGCTGACATTTTTAATACCTCAATTTCAAAAGTATGCATTAATTTGATATTTTTTTTTTTTCTACTTTTCTAGAAACAACACGCAAAGCGTATGGTCGCACAAACTAATAGCTTTATTAAGTAGTAAAAAACTAGCATAAAAATGAATCCAGAATTATCAAAGATACAAAGCAGCAACATAGCGCTTTCGCCGCTCATCACAAAAGCACTGAAGAAGAAGCCAGCCAAACCGCTTGGAGAACGCAAGAAAGCCGTAAGACGACAGGTAAATTGCAAATTATGAGCGAAAGTTTGTTTGTACACTAAAATTTAATTTCTTTATATTCTATAGGAATTGATGGTATTGCTTGGAAATGCCTGTGTGGTGTCTTCAGGCATGTCGGTGTCACTGCCATCTGTTTCTCTACCACAACTCACCAGTCCAGATGATATTTATCAACTTAATACTGAAGAAATTAGTTGGTTTGGTAAGTTATTTGAAAAATTGTTCATTAAAAGAACTCTTTTATTAATCACCAAGTTTAGGAAAACCCGACTGTAAGCGTTATTTTTCATAATTATCTTTTTGTTCTTTTAAAAGTTTTGAAAAAATTATGATTTAAATGAAAATCGTTCAAATGCCTCCTGTTTCTCCTTTCAGCATCTATCAACAGCATGGCCTGTCCCATTGGCGGATTGATTGTCGGCTATCTCATGGACCGGTTTGGCCGCAAAAACACAATGCTATTAACAAATGTTGTTGGTCTTATAGGCTGGGTATTGCTGGTTACTGCACCCTACCAAAGTGCCAGACATGCCATTTTCCTGCAGCTGTTGCTTGGTCGTTTCATATCAGGTATCTACATATGTACACACTACTTTAATGTGGAAAGCAAATAAAAATATTTTAAATTGGTTTTAAACTCAACTTTATTGGCAGGTCTTATGATGGGCGCAGTTTTATCGCCCATTGGCTCATACTCGGCGGAAATCAGTTTGCCGCGCATACGTGGACGCCTGATTTTGGGTACATCAATTGCCATAGCTACCGGCATATTAACGATGTATGTACTGGGTTTAATAATACGGGTGAGTAGTGGAAAATGTTGCCAAATGTTCTTCCTATACTTATTTAAATCTTCACCCTGCTAACTCCACTCACAGAATCAATTTCAAATGGTCTGTATCATCTCAGCGATTTACCAATGTGTTGCATTTTGCTGTATTCTACCCATGCCCGAATCACCCAGCTGGTTGTTGCAAAAAGGCTATGCGGAAAAAGCGCGAAAATCACTCAAGTATTTCCGTGGTCTCTCCGAAAATGGTAACTATCACGAAAACTTTTCGCATTTTTGCTTCTCATACATTCGCATTTGCTCTTCCCCAGACAACACTACTTACGATGAGTTTGAGAAGGAATTGGCGCTTATCAAAAAGACATCCGAACAGAGCCGCGCAGACGCTGCGAATGAATCACTCTTGCAAGTCATACGCGCGCGTGAAGTCTACAAGCCGCTCATCATGATGATTGGCTTCTTCTTCTTTCAGCAATTCTCTGGCATTGTTATTATTATAGTATTTGCTGCGCAAATCGCTACAAGCGCTGGCGTATCTGCGGATCCAATGTTGGTAGCTGTCTTCGTCGGCATTGCACGTATCGTCACCACCTTCTTCATGAGCGCAATCTTCGAGCGTTGGGGTCGACGACCGGCAGGCATGCTTTCTGCTGCGGGCATGACTGTCTGCATGTTTTTGTTGGCGGCCAATGGCTGGTGGCCGGTTATCGGCGAGTCTTTTGCGCTACTGCCCGTCATTTGCATTGTACTGCACATTATCTTCTCTACGCTGGGACTGCTGACGTTGCCTTTCCTCATGATCTCCGAGGTATTTCCGCAACGTGTGCGCGGCAGTGCGAATGGCGTAACGTTGTTCGTGGGGCTAACATTTTCCTTCAGCGTGGTGAAATTATATCCCACCATAGAATCGTTGATCGGCACACCAAATAGCTTTTTCGGCTTCGGGTTTATCTCCCTCTTGGGTTTGGTATTCATTATTTTCGTCGTACCAGAGACGAAAGGTCGCACATTGTTAGAGATTGAGAACTATTTCCGCACCGGACGGCGCGTGACAAATGCGCAAGTGGCACGCCGACAATCGCAAATTGTTATGGAAGTAGCGCAGGGTGTCTATAGTTCGCAATTCGAATTGGACGAAGTGATCATGCGTTTGAGTAAAGTGCATGAGGATTGTGAGGCCAATGAAAATGAGTTAATAAGTGCAAAATAGTATAGTAGTATTTTCTAAAGATGTATGGTTAAATGGTGCATAACATGAAAATCTTTTTGTAGAAATAAGTGTACTTAAAGTAAATTAAAAACATACCTGTGATGCTTTTTAAAGCTTGCAACTAGAATATGTAATGAGTAGGTCCAACGGAGGGTCTTTCAGCAAATTTACTCTACTGTTAATAAAAAAAAATTAAAACAAAAATTAAGATTTTAATTTTTATGTTATCCTTAATAACCGCCGTGCGAAAACTCTCTTCACTCTGAAACGGCTATACGGATGTAGATGGAATACGGCATTTGGATCGCTGTCATCGCGAGCCATGTGGGACCGTTATAGGAGGCTAAAGAGAGAAGCGAGGCGTATTTGCCACAATAAGAAATGGAAAGCGTAAATACGTAAGTGCGAAAAGCTTGAAATTCTGGCCGACAGGAAAACCGCCCGAAAATTTTATCAGAGGGTTAGGCGACTAACGGAAGGTTTTAAGACCAGGGTGAAATCTTGTAAGAACAACAATGGTGACCTAGTGAATGATGTCCAGAATGTACTTAAATTGTGGAGGGAACACTTTTCCACCCTTCTGAATGGTAGAAGCACTGAAAGCTATGGATAAGACGAACCCGAGCCCCTAGCCAATGATGACGGAGTCGATGTTCCACCACCTGACTATGGCGAGGTACGAATAGCAATAGCGCGTTTAAAAAACAGCATAGCTGCTGAGCCAGCTGAGCGGTGGTAAGGAGCTGACAGTAGTCGTTAAGAAATTTCAAACAAAAGCGAAACTGAGTGCTAAAGTTCAGTGACATCTATAGGCATTTGCTGAGCGCATATCTTTTCATGTTATTTCCCGTGCAGTACGAAACGAAATGAATGTGGTTCTGGAATATGGTAACAGTTGGTTTGAAACTGTGTTAAATGAGTAGACAGCTGATAAATGGCCAAGGGCTAAATCAAAGCTGTTGGAGTTTGTTCATTGATCACCAGTGCGAAACAATAAGGCCCTTACTTCGAGTTGAGTTTTTATGCAGTTAAAAACCGTCTCGCCGGTTTAAGGATCTAGGCAATAGGACAAAACGGTTAATATAATACATTCAAAATAATAACGAAAAAATTTAAAGTTAATAAAAATAAAAATTAATGCTAGAAAAATCATTATGCGGTATCTCTACCAAATGACCAAAAATCGATGGCCAGTTTTTTAACGTCCAAGAAATTGTGTTTAATTCTAAATTTACCAAAAATGTTTGTCCATTTTTTACCTTCAAGTGTTGACTTTTTTTGATTTTTTATTATTCAATTAACTGCTATAATTTTATTTATTTTTATTTTTTCTAAAGAGCATATAAAATTTATTTTGCCAATTAGATAAGTCCAATCACCACATTCATGCAAACATCATTTAATTTATTTTTGTTAGTTCACCGGAAAAGAAAAAATCAATAAAATATTTAAGTTTTCTTTAAGTTGTATTTATCAAACATCACATAAATATGCACGTGGATACATATTAATATACAGCAGCACAGAGAGAGCAAAAAGATTCCACGCACGACAAAAGCATCAAATCAAAACGTCATAAACATTTTCTTGCTACGGCTTCGGTTGATGACATATGGCGCCACAATGCAAACACTTCTCGCTAGCGACACTTTCTCGACCTTGTCTGAGACACTGACGCGTGGCTTTCACAGTCTCACGCACTCCTGCCGGCACCATCATACGGCTGCCAGCCTGAATATAACCACACACAGCCACTTGACGACTTCGGGTGCCATGCGAATGTTGAAGATAATTTATCATTGTTACGTATACGCCATGGATGGTAGTTGCAGTTACCGTCAGCTTCTATGCTGCTGCGTCTACTACTTATACATCTCCTGCTACGATTAATGTCAATGCATATTTATGTATGTAGCTACTTGAGACTTGGTTTTTCCAGCACCACTTATCATCAGAAGAACGACAAATGATATTTCAATCATACGACAAACGTAATAAGCCACTATGTCAGACAAATGATGAGCTGCTGTCAAGTAGAGACAAATGGTGACGGTGGCTGTGAAGTATATCTTTAGTTTTTTTTGTGCAACCAGTTTATTATTTAGTTAGTAGATGTCTTTGCTAATTTTTTTTTTTTTTGTGTAAGCACTCAATTTATTGCTTTGTAACTTCTACTTTAGAGCTTATGTTTACGTTGTCTATTTGCAGCCTCTTAAATATGTGTGCGTCATAACTACGTACAATTAGTTTTTTTTTTTAAGTTGGTCTTTTTATGTGTCTTTTAATGCCCGTAGACCGATTCAGTCTAAACTAACTTACCCTGCAACGTTTGTTTATATCTAATTCAATTCACTTCTTGTATTCAAAATAAGAGAAGAATTCTTTCTCGTTCAACCGATTTTTTACTCTCAGGTACATATACTTAAATCCAGCGCGTTTGTTATTTTCTTTTTTTTCATATATACAAATTATTGTCTCGTATCCATAGTAACCGTGCTCCAAATGCGGCGAAATCTCCCAGAAGTTAAAAGTGTTCTCTTATCAATAAAATGTCTTCTCTTCATTCTCTTTATTTTCCTTTTGGTATTATAAAATGATTCATTTTCTTCCATTTGCGCGATTTATTCTATTCGTTGCACTTTAAACACTCAATTTTCGTTGTCTACGGAGTTCGCCGTACTGAGACTTTCTCATAGCGTAGCTCTGCTTTTCTTTCTCTTCAGATGTAAAGTGTACCTAGTGATAGCAATGCGCAAACTCGTACAAATTCACCGCATTCTGCGTATGTATTATTATAAAATTTGCTATGCACTGCTTTTTGCTGTTGCTCGTCTCTCTCCTTACGCTCTATTTATTTATCAGATGCACGGCGAAATCCGGCAATTTCGTTTACTAAACAATTTTGCAATCTTTCGTACGTCTTATCATCAGTTTCTCATAAAGAACAAGATCCCATCGCGAAATTGTATTTAAATGTTGTTGTTATTTTCCCAAAAAAATTTTCATTAATAATGGTCTCAAGCTCAATCAAAAAAAATATAAAAATATATAAAAATAAAATATTGGCGTGGAATATTTTTTAACAGTATTCTTTACGAATATATCGAAGCCCGTATGCCAGAAACATGAATGTGTAAAAACAAAAATTTTGGGAAAACAAGTTTGACAGTTTTTTTTTACGAGACTTAACTTTACATTAATGCCAAGGCGAATTTATATAAGGTGGTGTTACTAGATCAGCTGATTTT